GCGCTGTTCTCTTGGCTTATGCTTATCCGCTATTTGATCGTAGAGCAGAGGCACGGTACTTTACTTTCATGGTGGTTTTGCTTTATTTGATACTTTCGGTCCGATCGTTAAGAGAAAACACTTCCTGAACTAACTATTGTCCAGTAACGAATTTGTTTTGTTTTATACTTTCAGATAGTGAAGAGAAAATACTTTCTGAGTATTGTTCAGTAATAATCAATTTGATTATTGCCTTGTTAAAACAGGCGGTCGTTTTTCAATGTGGTTGAATTTAGTTTTTTTTTCATGAGAGATTTAGAGAAATTCAATAGCATGGAGGTTGGGGGGGGGGGGTGGTGTGTTTATAGGGTTAGTAGTAGCTGCTATTCATTTAACACTAACCCCAACCTTCCTATACTATGGGATTTCCTAAATCTTGTGATGTGATCCATTCACAGAAAAGAATCTGAATTTGTACTTCAGTTGTAAAGAATTATCTGCTTCATTTATATAATTGTTACTGTAGTATGATCTGACCAGATACAGCGAAATATGCCAGACAATAAATTTTCCAATCTATGGTTGTCTCTTCTTTCTTCAAACTTTTTGATAGTAAAGAGAAAACAATGAATAAGGTCTAGTAATGCATTTGGGCTATCCTCCGAATAACGGCCACATATTATGGCCGCCAAAAACACACCCTGACAGGGCCTCATTAGGTTGTATGTTGTAAACATTAAAAAACTTGAACTCGAAAATAATGAGGAACGAAAAAAGGGGAAATGACGAAATTGACTGCTAAGCGATAACTGAGGCCTTTATATCTAAAAATTGTGACACAGAAGTTGCAAACAGTGCCCGAAAATCTGCTCTTTGTGGCTGTGGCGCCATTGAAATTCGGTTAAATATTATCGGAACAAGGCACAGCTAGTGCCGCATTGGTAACACAGTTTTCACCACCGACAGAATCCCTCACGCCGCTGCGTGTGGTACGGATGGGGGCTACACTAGATGGCTAGGACTCACGAGCAAATAAATTGGAGGAAGTTGCAAGAGATGCGGTAGCTGCTGCTCATGAGTCCCAGCCATCTAGTTTAGCCCCCTATCTGCGCCACATGTAGCAGCCCTGAGGATACGCTCGGCGGTGAGTTTGATGGGAAGAACGCTATCGCTAACCTGCGTCAGAGCGTGTGGTCTCCCCGCCATGTCGCTATTATTTTGTGTATTGTTGCGTTTTTCGAAATTGTCAACGGACAGTATTCCTAATTTTGCCGCGATGTCTTTGTCGGACGAAGTCCGCAATTTACATGTGATTGAGGCCCTGTAGGGTTTGTTTTTGGCCGCCATAATATGTGGCCATTATTCGGAGGATAGCCTGCATTTGATTAATTTTGGGAATTGGAATAAATCACTTCAAGAGTTGATTTGAAAAGAAAAGTCACATGCCTATTTATACTATCGTAAAAAGTAAAATGAGTTGGCTAATATTGTTCTTTTCTTTGCTCCTGGAATGGCTTGTGGCATCAGGGCAGGAAGATTTGTCTGGAACGGGCCCTTCTATTCACTTCGTATTAAGTACTTTTCAGTTTCTGATACTTGTGTGGTCTGCATTCTGATACTTCTGTGGTCTGCATTCTGATACTTCTGTGGTCTGCATTCTGATACTTCTGTGGTCTGCATTCTGATACTTCTGTGGTCTGCATTCTGATACTTCTGTGGTCTGCATTCTGATACTTGTGTGGTCTGCATTCTGATACTTGTGTGGTCTGCATTCTGATACTTCTGTGGTCTGCATTCTGATACTTCTGTGGTCTGCATTCTGATACTTCTGTGGTCTGCATTCTGATACTTCTGTGGTCTGCATTCTGATACTTCTGTGGTCTGCATTCTGATACTTCCTGTGGTCTGCATTCTGATACTTCTGTGGTCTGCATTCTGATACTTCTTGTGGTCTGCATTCTGATACTTGTGTGGTCTGCATTCTGATACTTGTGTGGTCTGCATTTGGATACTTCTCTTGGTCTGCATTCTGATACTTCTGTGGTCTGCATTCTGATACTTCTGTGGTCTGCATTCTGATACTTGTGTGGTCTGCATTCTGATACTTCTGTGGTCTGCATTCTGATACTTCTGTGGTCTGCATTCTGATACTTCTGTGGTCTGCATTCTGATACTTCTGTGGTCTGCATTCTGATACTTCTGTGGTCTGCATTTTGATACTTGTGTGGTCTGCATTCTGATACTTCTGTGGTCTGCATTCTGATACTTTTGTGGTCTGCATTCTGATACTTCTGTGGTCTGCATTCTGATACTTCTGTGGTCTGCATTCTGATACTTGTGTGGTCTGCATTCTGATACTTGTGTGGTCTGCATTCTGATACTTCTGTGGTCTGCATTCTGATACTTCTGTGGTCTGCATTCTGATACTTCTGTGGTCTGCATTCTACGTGGTTGACCTATGATTCTGTAACTGTTCTCTAGCTGTACATTTATGTTGTCCAGTTCTTAACTTTTGCTGTTTATTTGTCTTTTGTTATCTAGTAATTCTAGACCAACATTGTACAATGTCAACATATGTTTTCCTGTCTCCTTAGTTTTTCATACTACCTAAGTCTACTTTACCGTTGGTCAGGTCAAGTTAACTTTACCTATGTTATCTTGCTTTCATTTGTATAAAATTGAATAGATTTGTTTACCCTTTGCTTCTTGTTTCGAAGTACTAATGTATAATCATGGCCGTCCTATTGTGCCATTGTGTTACATAAGATCATGCAGTCTATTCCTCCATTTCCTTCTGTAATCGCAATCTTTTTAATTTCATGAATAGAATTTAGTCCAGCATTTTACCAACATTAGTGCCATGGTTTCTTTTGGATCTTCTCTTTCCTCCATTCATTTATTCCCCATTTCAGTGCCTATTTGGTGATTTGATGAGTCTCTGCCCCCATCTTCTCAAGATGTGCCCATCGTAGCACCATCTTTGTTTTATAAGCAGGGGTTTTACCAAATGTAACCTCAGGCATTTATTTTCAAAAGCATTTATCTTTCTCTCTGTGTCTTTCAGCTTTCACAGGCATATGTTAAAATTAAAATATTAGAATTAATAAAACGTAATTTGGTAACATTTTACTGTTTTCATGAGTATACTATTAACATTCCAGGGATGTATAAGTAGTATCAGTTGGGTAGTTAGTAACAGTATCATCAATGAACACTTCATTTGTCAGGTCAAGTTAGCTTTACCATCTTGCCCTCATTTGTCAAGTCAAGTTAGCTTTACCATCTTGCCCTCATTTCTCAGGCCAAGTTAGCTTTACCATCTTGCCCTCATTTGTCAAGTCAAATTAGCTTTACCATCTTACGCTCATTTGTCAGGTCAAATTAGCTTTACCATCTTGCCCTCATTTGTCAAGTCAAGTTAGCTTTACCATCTTGCCCTCATTTGTCAAGTCAAGTTAGCTTTACCATCTTGCCCTCATTTGTGAATGTTCCTTATGTTCACTGGTTGTAAAGTTCTGGCTGTTTGTCCACTTCTAGACTTAAGTCTTATTGCTAAACTGGAGTTTTATGGGCACATCCGTTTGACAGATCTGGCTTATTTGTATACAGACTAAACCCCAGCTTCAAGGAAACACCTATAGTTGACTTTTATGACATGCTTGTTAAAGAGGGGGCAATGGATCTGTTTTCTTTCCTACAGTGGGTCTCCAGAACCCACGCAGGGCTACAAATTTAATAAATTTCTAATCTGAACTTTCCTATATCAATGTAATAATGCACAGTATTATTTGATAATTGATAAGAGTATCATCAGTAAGCATTGTTGTTTGTGAGTAGTTTACAACCAGCCATCAGTGGACAGTTTATAGTATGTCATCCTGTTACAAAATGTCCTGAGAAATCAGTGCTGCCAGTGTGATGTTGACCACACAACCTGTCTAAGGCCATATAAAATGTACAAATACGAGGCTTGTTGCACCACTAGCGTGAAAAGGGCTCTTTACTTCTTACTTGAACGAGCTGTTATAATGCTGGGCTGTCAAGTGGGAGTCCCATGTTCAAATTCCTGATAAAGTTGGAGATATCTTTTTTTTTTCTGTCGGAAGCAATATTACAATCCAAACTTGCTCAGTCCATTAAAACAGAGTTAGCCATGCAGTCCTAAATTCTCGGACTGAACCCCCCCCTCCCCCACACACACACACACTGCAAAGGGGCTAAATACAGTAGATAATGGTAGTTCTTAAACAAAATCCTACTGCATGTTGCTGTTCATCCAACTTGAATTGATAAAAGTCCTAACACCCAAGTCAGGAAGGGTTGTGGAATATAGCAAAGCCTGATCACACCAGTAAAGTTACGGTTTTCAATGAACACAGTCATATCTGATACTTTTTGTGAGGGTCCTGGAGCTTCATTCTGAGTGATACAAGTATGGACCTACGACTCTCTAAGGGAACTAATTAGGGCAGTTCTCTTCGAGGTCAGAATGCATACGTCTGAGAGGCAAGGAACCACCAGCAGTCTGCAAACAAATAAGCTAAATCTTTAAAAATGTCTGGGCACTCAGATCTCAAGTTTTTGAACAAAACAAACGTTCAGAAGTGGATGCAAAACTGAAACTTTCCACAAGAGTTTACAGCCAGGGAATGCTAATAATAATAAGAAGAAGAATATCCGGTCGATACACACACAAACATTGTCAGAACTGATTATTTGCCTTATGGGGATTGGGATGAAGCTGACATAGGAGTTTCTCTGGGATTTCTCATAGATACCAGAAGCAGTATTTTGGTTTCTCTGGGTGACATTGTAGAGGAAACCTGCCTCTAAGCTAACCAGCCTGTAACATTGTTGCTAGATGTGTTGAAAGTGAGTTAATAAGGGTTATGGGCTAGATGTGTTGAAAGTTAGTTAATAAGGGTTATGGGCTAGATGTGTTGAAAGTTAGTTAATAAGGAACATGGGCTTGATGTCTGTGCTTAGTTTGTTCAAACATCGTTTGTTTGTTTTCAGCCGTGATGCCACCCATGGCAACCTCAGCATCCAAACGCAAGTGGTCAGATGTGTTTGGGGATCGGGAGATCTACGACAAGCAGTCTATTATGGATCTGTGCACTTCCAAGCTGCGTTACGTCAATCCTGCTCGGCCTCCTCGCCGGCGCACTGAAGTGCCACTTCTTCGTAATGTTTTAATTGTTAACACAATGAAGCATCTGTCTGCAGAAATGAAGATAGACAAGCCTATGGAGTACAGCAGCGAGGACTTGTGTGTGGACCCGGGACACTTTGAAGGTTTGCCTCCCTTATCTGAGCTGTTGACTGACATTATGCTGGACCCACAGCCCAATGATCAACAGCAACAAGCAGTGGGTTCATTTGGTTGGACTGGGACAGTGGGTTCCACCTACTCTAGCCTGACTCCATTGGAACCCAGTATCAGCTCATATATGGATGCTGCCGACTCTAGCACCGAGCTGGGAGAGGAGAAAATTGTTCATGACTTATTGCCTTGTACAAGTGTTGTTGGCATCGATCAAATACAGCATTCGTGGCGCTCACCAAATGATTCCCTCCAGCACTCATCCACATGGCAGGTTCCAAATAGTTCATGTCATCATCATCCTCATTCACCTGTGTGGAATGTCTCAAATGACTCTAGTGTGCTAGACTGTTTTCTCTCCAGTGCCTCCCTCCAGCCATCATCCAGTGATTCAGTCGATGCTTTGACATCTGAATTAGCATTCCAATCATCGAGCAGCCCCCTGCCAGCATTCAGCTCACTGTTCGAATCCCCACAGAATCCATCATTCACTGAATTGTTACAGACATCTGCATTATCAGGCCCTTCCTCGGCTTTTATCTCCACGGGCACATGTTTTTCAGGCGCATCTTCCCTTAATTCACTCCCAACTGTCAGCAGTGCCTCGGCAGACGATATTGTAGGGAATGTTAACCTAACGGAAACTGAACTGGAGTTCCTGGCAATGACATTCTCCGCCAAGCTGCCACTGTCCTTTGAAGATCTTGTTCATGCTTTACCACAGACCTCGTTATTGCAGCAGACGTCTCAGCCTTCACAGACATTCTGTGTGCCTTCATCATTACAAGGCAGTGTTAGTTCTAGTTGTGACAGTGCCTCAAATGCCATCAACCAGTGTGCCAGCTATTGCCGTAGTGACCAGCCTCCTGCAAATGCTGATGACAGTGGTATGGTTCGAGTTCTTGTCAATCTCTGACCTATGTGTGTAATTCTCCAAGGAATTGATTACGCATGTATGTTCTACCAAACCTTGCCTTGTAACACACACTTCCTTATAGGTTATAACAGTTTTTAAAAGGTCTGCTGCTTCGACAGTAAGATCCGCTTCGCATGAACAATTAAGTTGTTAAAAACATTTGAATTATAATAACCGATGGCCAGGTATTGAGGACAGCACACTCTGAATTCTAGATGCTTGGAGACAATGCATTTTGGATAAATAAGACACTTATTCTGTGCTTAACATCAAAAATATCCTCTGTCAACATAACTGTTTTGGTGGCTTTCTCTAGTGCCGACCTGTAAATTCCTCATAGTGGGACTTATGGATATAAGACAAGCACCCGTTATGCAAATTTAGATGCTACTTAGCTCAGAGCCTGAATAATATTGCTGCTGTGAGTTGGGTGTGGAGCACTAGAGTCTCTAGAGATGTAGTCACAATCAACCTGGGAAGTGTGCCTTTCTAGGAAAGTTTTATACAGTTAACATTTTGTGTCCTCTCCAACTGGAAATGTTAACTTCAGCTTCATTCGCTGTTCTTCAAAGTGTAGGTTTAAAACCTGGATTTGTAAGACAGCGGTCAGAAGTAATCGCACCAAACGTTTGTTGTGAAAACATGAACGAGAACTTGAATGAGCATTTCTAAATGTGTGGAAGTGACTGATGAAATCAGCTTACATCTCTTACTACTAGACAGCTCAACAATACATCTTTTCCAGTGACTTTTGCTGCTGTACATTTTACATTGGTTATGAACTTTGGCAGCACATCACAGGTTTCATGGACTTAACAAAGGGTTTTCGATGCCGAAGTTTTCAAGATAACTTGGACCTTTTATCTCTTATGGTTACAGTGGCTCCAGTTTATGAATATTATTTGTACAATGGCTGATTCTGCTGATGATGTGCATGTGTTTCTGAAAGATGCAGGTCAGGGCTGTTGAAATAAGTTTACTTAGGGGCCAGAATGTTGAAAATGGGGATTGCCAGAGTTTATTAGAGTCCTCAGCATCGAAAGATCATTAATACAAAACAGTTGGCAGCGGTACGTGGGTCACTTGATAGACCTCTATGGGGTGGATTCGGCCTGCGAGCCGCTACTTGGTGTTGTGGGGTAGATGATTGGGGCACTTGCTCAGCCTATGTGTATATGTGTGGGTAGGTTATGTGAAGAGGTGAGTTATATGAGGACAGGTGAGTTGTAAAAGGACAAGTCAGTTATGTGAAGTCAGGTAAGTTATCTAAAGACAGGTACTGTATATTGTTATCATAGCATGCTGGAAACGACTTGGTGACATTTGACTGTGATCATTTTCTGCTGGTGGCTAAAATACATATTATTCTTTTACTTCCTGACACTTGGTCATTCATTGGCTACTCATTGTTTTATCTTTGTTGTGGTGGCAAACTGTTCAGTTTTATTTATACTGTGTTGGATATTTGTTTTGTTTGTGCAGAGTATAATGAATTAAATGCTATGACTTAATAGCTAATAGGGTAGATGAAGAGCAAAAAATTCCAGTCAAGAGGTAAAGAATAGACCTTGGCACTAATTACAACATACACTGAGAAAAACCTTTTGATAAAATAACTAGAATGTCTTTGTACTGGAACTGACAGGGCTTTTGAAATAAGGAGACCAACAGATATGCAGAGCAGGGAATTAAAAACAGAAATCTGCCCTGGTGGGGGCTAGAACCTAAACTACCTGACTGATAAACAAGAGTTCTAGTCTCAGTGTTGCAATGACTCTCTATCAACATACAGTGCAATCTATTGTTGTTGGTGAAAGGACAACAGCAGAATACCCATATAAGACTGCAGGTGTCTCAGTTTTTTTCTTTGTACTTGTTGCATTGTTGCATTATTACATGTTGAGAGTCAGTAGAGTTTGTGTGTGTCATCATCATCATTATGTGGCATGTCCCTTGTAGAGAGTTGTGCTCATCACAGACTGCCAAACTGACTCTCAGCAGTGCTGTTGCTGCATGAAAGATGAGTGTGTGAAATAACAGAGTTTTAGACAGGCATATCTTGTCCCTTCCAGAACAGTTTCAGACAGGCATACCTTGTCCCTTCCAGAACATTTTTAGACAGGCCATACCTTGTCCCTTTCAGAACAATTTTAGACAGGCCATACCTTGTCCCTTCCGGAACAATTTTAGACAGGCCATACCTTGTTGCTTCCGGAACAATTTTAGACAGGCATACCTTGTCCCTTCCGGAACAATTTTAGACAGGCCATACCTTGTCCCTTCCAGAACAATTTTAGACAGGCATACCTTGTCCCTTCCGGAACAATTTTAGACAGGCCATACCTTGTCCCTTCCAGAACAGTTTTAGACAGGCATACCTTGTCCCTTCCGGAACAATTTTAGCCAGGCCATACCTTGTCCCTTTCGGAACACTTCTCAAAAAAACATTTGGGTCACTGTCCTGATCTCATATTGTTCTTCTTTGTACTCCTCTTCCTCTTCAGCATTCCAAGACTTTAAAGTTTATTGCTGCATATATCACCTGTAAATGATACAGAAAACTGGAGGAAATATAACTTATATTTGTCGAAATGCTTATTTAGAAATTTCTGTAAAATGGAGAATTTACGCGGGTTTACAGCCAGTTATTCACTGTCCAGGAAAATATAAATCAATTTTTTTTTTTAACATACACACCAGGTTGTTGTTTGCTAATGGGGACAGTATCATGTCAGAATTTCTATTTTAAAAGCCATTTACATTGGGCTTGAACACTTGTGGTCGAGAAGATGGGGAGGGGGTTAAATTGGAATTAGTAGGATTTCCCGTTGTCAGCTCAGGGTATTAATAGTCACCCTGTCTGTCCTGCTTATGGGGCTGGGAACGCTTAGTATTGCTCCGTGGCAGAGGCGGTATTGCTGTCCATGACCTGTGACTCAGCCTGAGAGCGTCTTGTCAGTTTATTTCTAAAAAATCTACTTTGATACAGATTTCTTCTTGGCACTCACTAGCTGTAAATTCCAGTGGAAAGTTCTGGTTGTTCACCCACTTCTAAACTTTGGTCTTATTCCAGAACGTGAGTTTTTTTTTTTTTTATGCACATTCATTTTACGCTTCTGGCTTACTTGTATCTACTGTTGGTTCCATATATTTCTGGCACTCCGATTGAAACACCTTTTATGGCATGCTTGTTAGAGGGGCCGTAGGTCTTTTCATTTTTTCCACAAAATGGCTCCCTGGGCCCCACACAGGCAGATCCAGGTTTGATGCCAAGAACTTTGGGCCAGCAGGCAAGTGCCCTACCACTGCACTAACATAAATGTCTCTTGAAACATTGCTGATACAAGATGACTGAGCACTTGTAGTTCTAGCCAGTTATTGCTTTCACTGCGAGCCACCATGATGGTCCGACTGGACGTCACTTGCAGATTTGAAGGTTGTGGGTTCAGTTCCTGATGGAGCCTGGCTTTTATCTTTCTTTCTTTCAGAAATGGCCTCGCCTGCCAGGTAAAACTTCTAGGGGAATGATTGTGGCCGGCAGGATGTTGAGCACATCGCCTACCAAGTGCCAGTGGGTCTATAAATTATAGGTCTAGTCTTATGTGCCGAAAACGCCTGAAGGCTTGGGAAAAAGGTCCATTACTTTTACTTACTTTACTGTGACTTTGACTTATTCAGTCAAAAACAGTTTTACTTTTGAAAATTGTGTATTTGGATATGACAGGCTTAAATAATAAGACTGCAGGACAGAAGGGACACCCTATTTTTCTGTGAATAAGATGACAAGTTATCCCATATTTTTAAAGTTCAAAATGGGGGGTCGCCTTTTACACAGATGGGTTTAAAATATGTATTTCTTAATTATGGGCTTAAAGAATAGGGGTCGTCACATTATACATGTTGGCATTTTATACAAATACAGTAAGTACTAAGGTAGAATTTGCTACTTTACCAACTGTCTGTGACAGAAGTTGACATGTTGACCGTCTGTGGACCTGCCAGTGAATTTTTAATGTTATACGGTTCGTAAAGAGTTAATGCCAATGTGGAGTTAACCCTCTGTATTTTATGTATGCCTCTGCACATGTGTCTGAGTCTGTGTGGGCACTTGTAACCCTGTCTGCAAAATCTCGTTAGTAACCCATCATGTCCCAGACAGTTGTTTCACAGAAAGGACAACCTTTAAGTATAATATAAAAAATGAAGTGATTTTTAAAAAGGCTAAACAAAAAAAACATAAGGAAATATTTGACATACAATGATGTATTCAGCATTCACTGATTTACCACACCTTAGGACATTCTTATAACAAACCACATGCAGTGTTCTGGCAGATGAGATCACATACTGTTTTCTCAGAGGTTGTAGATCACATACTGTTTTCTCAGAGGTTGTAGGTCACATACTGTTTTCTCAGAGGTTGTAGGTTGGTTGTTTACTGAGCTCTTGTATTTTTGATCTGTGTGTTTTATGTTGGTGATTTTGGATGCAGGTTCTTCACAATTTTAATCTGGGATTACTATTTTGTGGATATAAAAATGCAAGAAAGATCAAACTATGGCGCAGTATTATCTGTTGGTGGCTGCTAATGGTTGTGAGTCATGGATTCTTACTTAACCTTTGAAGCTTTCAAGCTGAAACACATCATGTGTGATCTGAACATCAGGGAGAATTGGCTCATAACAGCATCCTGTTCTGAAAGCTGAAGTATTTTGTCTATGTTAAGTCTGGGGAGAAAGGTGATGAAGGGTACCGTTTCTGGAAGAAGGGTGAGAGGCTGACCTCTGCGAAGGTGAGTACAAGACAGGGAAGATGCATTGGCTATGAAAGCACATAGGGCTGGAGAAAGAAAGACTTTCAGGCGTGCTGTGATGGGAGCGATGTTCTGTAAAGTACCTGCTGAGTCATTGATTATCCATGGGAAATTAGTTGTTTTTGTACATCATTCATATTCATAATTCAAATTCATACATTATACACATGTGCTACCTACATCCATC